TTAAAACAAACAGTTAGGAATGTTGTTGTTAGGTGGCTTTGAGTCAACTACGACTGATAGTGACCCTGTGAACAAAAGATCTGAACTCTGTTCGATCCTGCTTCATTCTCACTTCCTGACACACAAGAGCCTATTGCAGCAGGCACCATGACAGTCCACCTGGTTGAGGGTCTTCCTCTCCTTCGCTGACCCTCCACCCTTCCCAACATCATGTTCTTTTTCAAGGAATAGTACCTCCTGATAATATGTACACAGTATGTGAGGTGAAGTCCCATTATTCGCCTCTAAAGAGCACTCCAGCTGCACCCTCTCCATGAAGTACCTATTCTTTCTCTTGGCCATCCATGGACTGTTAAGTGCTCTTCAACACCACAGCTCAAAAGAATCAGTTCTTTTTCAGTCATCCTCCTTTATTGTCCTGGTCTCAGATGCATAGCAAGTAATCGGAAAGACTATGGCCTTAGTTCTCAAACCGATATCTCTACTCCTCAATAATTGGAAAGGTCCCTAATAGCAGATTTTCCCAGTGCAATGCATCTCCTTATTTGCTGACTACTCATAGCAAGAGTGTTAATTATGGATCCAAGGAAGATTAAGCTGGTGCTGAAGGTCATTATAAAAATAGAGGACATAGAAAAAAACCAAAGTGGATGCCAGAAAAGACTCTAAAGATTGCACTGGAACATTGAGATGCCAAATCTAAAGGGAAATATGTCAAAGTGAAAGATCTGAACAGTTTCAAAGGGCAGCTTGGGAGGACAAAGCAAAGTGTTACAATGGAATGGCATAGAGCTGGAATTGGAGGATAAAAGGGAAGAACTTGCTCTGCATTCTTCAAGCTGGAAGAACTGATAACAAATTTAAGCTTTGTGTCGCAATGTTGAACGATGCTATAGGCAATATATTGAATGACCCAGAAAGCATCAAAAGATGATGGAGGGAATACACAGAGTCACTGTACCAGAAAGAACTGATTGACACTGAAAAATTTCAGGAAGTACCATATGAGCAGGAGCCAGTGGTAATGAAAGATGAAGTGGAAGCTTCATTGAAGGCACTTGCAAAAAAATAAGGACCCAGGAATCAATGGGATACCAATTGACGTGTTTCAATTAACAAATGTAGCCTTGGATGTGTTCACCAGCCTATGTCAGGAAATTTGGAGGATAGATATCTGGCCAACAGATTGTTGTTCCTCTTCCCAGGAAGGGTGATCCAACTGAATGTGGAAATTATCGAACAGTATCATTGATATTACATGAAAGCAAAATAGTGAAGATCATTCAAAAACGACTGGAACAGTACATAGATAGGTAATTGCCAGAAGTTCAAGTGGGATTTAAAAGATGCCGGGTCTGTAGGAATATCTTTGCTGATGTTAGATTGATCCTGGCTGAAAAATAAGGAATATCAGAAGAATGTCTGTTTGTGCTTTATTGACTATGCAAAGGTGTTTGACTGTGTGGATCATGACAAGTTGTGGCTGACAACTGGGACTGTAATAAAGCCTATTCTAAGGGACTATTTATTAATGACATTTATGGTTTTTAAAAAAATTTCCATATGCCTAGCGAAAAGTTGAGTATTTGAAAGGTTCTTAATTCTGTCAAACTTATTTCTTATTTTCATTTCCTTAGTTTCTCAACCACCTCATATTCCTTTCTTCATATTGCAAAAGTCATTTCCATTTAGGCCAATCATCTTACAGAAGTTCTGTTCTTATAGCACAATAGACAAAATTTGCAAACTGGGTAGAAACTACTACATATATAGTCAGAATATTGACTAATCCAGGAACTTGTCAGAATAACAAATTTGTCTTGAAAGATAGGTAGCCAGAGCGCTCCGTAGTGACTCTACATGGTGACATAGAGCCTTTGACATACGTACTTTGGTCATGTTACTAGGAGGAGCCCGTCTGTGGAATAGGATATCCTTGGGGAAGTAGAGGATCAGGGGAAAGGGGGCAGATTGGATACAGATTCACACAGTAACTATGTAAATTGGCTGAAGTTTAGCAATGATTATGACTTTGTGAGACTGGGTGGCATTTTTTTTTTCTAGTGTACATAGAGTCATTATGAAAAACTCAACAAGTTATATATTTCTGATTTTTCCAAAAGACGTGATTCCATGGTATAGTTGCTACGATTACAAACAGAACAACTATCTTAATCAGTAGCTGTGACCCCCAAAATTTATGCATTTTCCTTGGTTAAAATGGAAAATAGAATCTCATTAATAATTTCATTCTACAAGACTGTGCTAGGCTAAAGGATTGTCATTGTTTTATCTTCTAGTTTTACTTTGAGATCTATCAGCAGCAATAAGTAAATTATTTAAAACCGGAGGGAGCAAATTCAAAATTCCAAAGAAACACATTCATTTAAATTTTAAATTGGCAAAATGATTAAGTTAAAATTACTTGCATATTGATTTGCTTGAATTTATGCAGAAAAACACCTACTTTGATATTATTTTTTAACAAAAATTGTTTTTCAGTCTTATAATTTAAGACCTTGCTTATTTCAATAATTTCAGCCTTCCATGTGTGTTATGCAAGATGTCTTAGAAAAAGAAATAATTTTTCTGTAGATGGCATTTCCTGTATTTAGTTCAATTTCAGTGGATTAGAAATAAAAGTAGCTGATTTTTCACACGATTACCATAAGCCCTTAAAATGTGAATTGGGCTTAATAAACTGAGGTGAAGGTGTTAGGCTCCATTGACTGGACTACAGCTTCCAGCTGCCCTGTGAGCAGCAGATCTGAATTGGGCCCTGTCCTGCCCGATCCTCAGGACCACCAGCCTGCTCAGGCACACTGTGGCAATCACTGGGCCAGTCCATCTTGGTGAAGTTCTTCCTCTCTTTGTCTGAGCCTTTCCCTGTCCTAGCATAATGTCTTTTTCCAAGGACTGACACTTTCTCGAACATGCCCAAAGCATGTGAAAGAAAGTTTCAATCATTATCTTTGTCTCTCAGGAGCACTTGGATTGCATTTCATCCACAACGGATTTACCTGTTCTTGTGCAGTCCGTGTCCATAGGATAGTCAGTCTTACAGAAAGGAGAACTAATAGTTATGAAGTGCCTTAGTTTCCACCCTTCTTGTTAAATGATGGCCAAATGGTGTGGTATCTAGTTTTCTGAACATTCCTGTCATGTTCACATGTTACCACCACTTGATATATAGAGAAAATATAACCTCATTTTAAATTACTTGCCTTCAGTCACAACTACTTTAAGAGGGGGAAGTAAAAAAAAAATCACAAGAAACTAAATTCAGAGACACGAAGTTGATTACAATGCTTGGTTTCCTACATGTAAAAATTGAATTGCCCTATAGTTTTCTTGGCTTGGAATATCTCTAAGTTCTAGGGATCTAATCTAAATAGGAAGTGAGATTTCAGAACCACTTGTGCCTAATTACAAAGCCCATGCTTTTCCATTCATTTACCTCTTGCAGACAATATACAATGAAATAAAGACTGCTTTGCTTATTGTGTCGAGGATGATGACAAGATAAGTCACCACCCTGAAAAGATTTTCAGCATATTCATACTCTGTGGAAATCTCAGCCCCTCGGAATCGAAATCCCCCAGGGCTGGAGTGAAGAAGTGGGAGAGCGCACATGTTTCCAGGAATGTGCCCTACCTTTCATTAAAAGCAACATTTAAATAGACTCCTCAAGAACTTTTTAAAGCCACCTTAAAACAGTGATTGAAGTAGAAGGGAGTATCAGAAAGAATGTTGCTCTTTAAAATTGAAGAGCTTATTCAATTATTTAACAAAAAAAGCTTTGAGATTTTGATTAAAGTCTTGGAGCCTGAAAACTCTGAACATTCCAGAAGAAACGTGTAAAAGGCTTAATGCTTGGTTTCTAAATGACCGAGCCATAATTTCTTTTCATTCAAGTCTCTTCTGAGATATTACTATTTCCTAACCATAATAATCAAAGGAGCCTTCTTGCAAAGCAGGTTGTCAGTTTGAGACTCCCTGCTGCTCTGAGGGAGTGAGAACACTCTTCCTTTCATGATTTATGGCCTCAGAAATTACCTAATTAGCTAAGAATAGTGATGAATAATATATGGACATAAAAGATATTTAAGCAGTCTTTTTAAATAAAACCCTTAAATAGATTTGGCCTGAGAACATAGTAAAAACTCCACATTTCATGTCTTAAGGAAAAAAATACTTTCCCTTTTTAAATCAAGATGTCAGTCTGGATTCTTACACTTTGGGAATTGACCAGTCCTTAGGAAGACTGCTTTTGTAAGCCTGTAATTCATTCGGCTCGTGCCTTAGGACATTTTTCTTTTATGCAGTACTCTTCAACGTTATGTTTCCACCGGATGGAGGGCTCTGTGTTACACCTCAGTATCACTGGTGAGGAGTGTCTAATTTGTAAAGACAGAAAGGACCCTTTTGTGGTTCCAGAAGTACATCTGTTGAGGTGGATATCTCATATTGTAGTGCTCAGATGCTTCCCAGGAAGGATGACTTTGCATTCATGTGGTCTGAAATACGTAGTCCAGATTTCACTTCTAAGATCTTGTGTTTTCTAATAGGCAAATTTTAGATTTGCTGGTTTCTGCAGAAATGTTAAAGTGGGATGGTTGTGATATTATTTCCTTTCAGCATTAGGAAAAAAATAGACTAACAAAGAGTGGAGATTTGAGGATACATGTCTGTGTTCTTAAGCACAACTGTTTTTGCTTTTCGTTGGTTTTATAAAAAAATTTAAATGTCATGCTATCACTATATAGTGGACAGATTTAAGATTCCCTTCACTCTGTTGCTGAGAGCAGTGAAAAGCTTTCTGGTGCTGCAGACTGTCTCATGATATTCTCTTCAACAGCATTAACATCTTGAGTGTGCTGCTTTATTTAATTCTCTGTTCTTAAAAATAACTGAAAATACGGCTTTAAAAAAAAACAAGACAACAAAATGTAATTGCCTGTCTAGTTCTTTTTCAAACCTCTTTCTCTTCTCCTTTTTAGTTCCTACAACAGCAGCCAGCACCCCTGACGCCGTGGACAAGTACCTGGAGACTCCTGGCGATGAGAATGAACATGCTCATTTCCAGAAAGCCAAGGAGAGACTTGAGGCCAAGCACCGGGAAAGAATGTCCCAGGTAAATGGAGTTCTTTAGTCTTCCAGACCTAAGATGTGTGGAAACATGGCCTTCAGTTTTCCCAGCATGTCCCAGGCTGATAATTGCCTAGAGGTGGGAAGTGGATCTTTAATTTTATCTAGATCTTTCAAGAAAGAAAGTTTTAACCTTAAGTATTTACTTTATTGTGCAGTTTGTTAACATGGTACCTTGAAAAGAAGTTAGTATAGTTTTGAAGTTGCATTTTCTAAGTATAAAATAAATGATAAGTAAAATGTGATCGTGATGGAATAGAGGCTCAGAGGATGGCTTCTCTGCTCTAGAGCAAAGCAATTTTTTTCCTCTGAAATGTATTACTGTTAGTAGCAGTATCATATTTTCCTTACACTATGCTACAGATCCTTTTTATTTCTTTAGAGTCTTTCTGGGGTGTTTTGTTTTGTTTTTTAATCAGAAGCACTGTTTAGTCCTGTGTCTTCATCTTGAACAGCTGCAGCTTAGATCATTGTGATCCAGAGGGTTTTCATTGACTGGGTTTTGGAGGTAGAACACTAGGCTTTTCATCCTAATCTTAGTTTGAAAGCTCCACTGATTCCAGTTCGGCATCATTAGTAACATGTAAGCCGGCAGTTTTGTCAGTCTAGAGATGAAGGTGCCTGATTCATGCTGTGTTGCAATCACTTGCTGTGCATCAGAGAACTGGAAAAATGACTAAGGATGACAGAAGAAAAATTTGAGTTGTGGTGCTGAAGAAAAGTCCGTCTTAGAGAGGGTCAAAACAAGTTTTTCCTTGGATACTAGGATTTTGAAGCTCCATCTCACATACTTTGGGCATGTGGCCAGGAGCAACTAGTCCTTGGACATCATGCTTGGAAGGGTGGAGGGGCAGCGCAGGAGAGGAAGACCCCAGATGAGATGGATTGATTCAGTGACTGGAATAATGGGGGTAGGTGTGTTGGAGTCAATGAGACTGCCTCAGGACAGGACAGGCTTCAGAGCTGTTGTACATAGGGTCTCTATGAGTCCCAGGAGACATGATGGCACACAACAACAACAACAAGCCTCCAGTGCTGGACATGGGGTGACCTCAGCAGGAATGGATGCCAGGTATTCTCTATTGAACCATTACTTCCTCCCAGCCCCAGGAACATGACAGATTGATAGATCATGAGTTATTTTTGAGTTGTGTCTGCTCTTAGGTGCTGAATGTTTTTTTGCTGTTGTTTTTGTTATGTTGTTATAGACCATTGAATAGAAACTGACTTATAGCAGATCCTCCAGCAGGTTTTCAGAGACAGTAAATTACCTGGGAGGAAATTGCCCATCTTTCTCCTGTGAAGCAGCTGATAGATTCGAACTGCATATCTTTGGATTGACGGTGCAGTTCCTTATTACTAAGGCATGTGTGCAAAGTAGAACTGCCCTCTAAGGTTTGTATGGCTGTGAACTTTGGAAAGCAGATACGCAGCCCTCAATCTGAGCTGCCTTAGGGTGGATTCTAACTGCCAACTTTTGAGCGCAGTAATCAAGCTCTTAGCCGTATGTACCACCAGTAATCGTTGGTGTTGTATTGTTGTTATTTGCCTTCGAATCAGAACAAATTCATAGCTGATCTTCAAGTTTTTATAGATTGTAAATCATAAGAGAGGAGATTGTTCATCTTTCTACCAGGGAGCAGCTGGTGGATTTGAACTACCTGCCTTTGGGTTGACAGCACAGTTCCTTACCATTAAGCCATATGAGCTCCTTAGGTGTTTTAGGTAATAGTGAGGATTTTAGCCTTTCCTAAGATTCATCATTAATCCACACTTATTACTTGCTAGTCATTGCTCCAATTTTAGTCTATGTACTGAAGAGTGGATTAAAAATGAAAAATAGGGAATGCTGGTTCGGTTTATGGAAATATAAAAAACTGAAGATAAGTGTAGCTTAAAATCTGCTGTTCACTTTGGTGATCATCTTCTGTGCTAAATATCAGAAACTATGGCTAATTGTTCCCATATTTAGCAAAACATAATTAAAGGCATCATGGTAAACATTAGAAAGGATTTGTGACTTAATCTGCCATTTATTTTCTGAGATGATAATAAGTCTTTAATAGACAATAGTAATCTGTCGAGAAAGGCAGAGCAGGTTTTGTTTTTTTTTCTTTTGAAGATAAGTAGCTGTGATGCCTGATCTTCTTTAATAAAATTAGACACACTCCCATTCACATTATACTTGGCTCTAGAATGCGATGTGCAATTCTAATTGTTACCTGTGACAAACTTAAAAGCTAGTTCAACTGGAAAGCAAGCTACTGTGGAACAGTGAGGTTTTTTGTATGAAGTCAGTTCTTTGGGAAAAGAAGATTTTTCATTAGGAAAGTTGCAGGCTAATGGTCCCTGTTAAAGAGAAGGAGGATTGATTGTGCTCCCTGTTTGTTTCCCCTAGAGGGATTACCTTTGAACGTTAATCCTATATCACTCCTATTTCTGAAGCTATCAGAAGTATCCTATGGCTGGCCAAATCTAGTACTAATCAAATGAATAATTATAATAAAATATGCAGAATTAACTCTGAGTCTTTAACCTGGCATTTGAAGGGTACACTAGTCCTGCCTGTACTCCAGCCCCTCCCCTCCCCAGCTCTCAACTGCTGCTAGCCTCACTCTGCGGTTCTGGTTTGGCCAGCCCTCAGCATCTGCTAAGTGCATTGTGAGCTTCCCTTTGCTCCTGACATGGTTCCTTCTGTAAATGGACTTCCACGCTTGCACTGTCAGATCTCACTCAAGCCTGATCCGCCCTACCCCGCGCCCAGTGATCCTCAGAGTGGGAAAACAGTCACTGCTTATGTCTTTCCTTTAGATCTTTGCCCTCTTCTTTGACTACTGATGTTTTGATATATATGTCTCATCTCTCCAAATCCTTTCCGTTTATGGAAATTCATATAAGACACCTTGGCAAATTTACATTTCTTTCCTTGGCACATAGTCATTACTGTGAAAAACATGCATAGCTCAGATTTTCTCCCCTCATATATCTTAGTCACTTTGATCCTGTTAATACTCTATAGCATAGATCTCCCTGGAATAATGCTTTAATTAAATATTAGCGTGTCTGTTTAACCCATGACTTACTTTATGTGAGTTTCGATGTTTTATGCTTTACTCATTAAATATATCTGAGATAACAGAGGAGTCTGTCCTGGATCATAGTGCACTGTCTGGGCCTTACCCAGGGGTCTTAGGAATGGAAGGCATTTATCTTTATAATCTGTGTTGCTGAATTTTGGGGATGGTTTGACTTTGAACTTGTCTGCCCCCTAAATCTCTCCGTAAGAGTTTGTCGTTTTCTCTGCATGAAACAGCCACGTCCATAAATTCAGACGGTAGTGATCGCTTTGTGCATGTGATGAAAAAGTACTTTATAAGCCTTCATAGAGGAACTGCAGTGTTTCAGAGTGAGAATTTTAAATTTAGAAGAAACTTGTTTCTAATTGTCGTATTTTCTTGTGTGTGTGTTAAAAATATTGAGTTAAATTTTTGTTTGCTTGTTTGTTTTGAGACTCATAATAGCTCTAAACTTATAGCCTTCTGTTCTTTTGCTATATTGGAAATAGCATTTACCAAATATAAATAAGCATCTGAACAGTTTATAAGCACTCAAATTACTTAGGTCTTTAGCAGTTTGATATATCTTTAAAATGAAGTCCTCCAAATGCCCTTATTCTGAATGTGTTGTTTTTAAGATAAGCATCCATATTGTCTGTCAAACTGATATTAAAACTCTTGGCTGCCCAGTGTATATTAAAATAAAACTATGCTCCACGGAGATTTCAATGGCTGTATCACTTCAGAAATAGATCAGCAGTCCTTTTTTTCTTTTTTTGTTTTTTAATTTTTCTCTCGTGTGTGTGTGTGTGTGTGTGTGTGTGTGTGTGTGTGTGTGAGATACTTGTGCAGGGACCATGCTAATCTTCTCTGGTTGTTCCAGTTGCAATATATGTCCTGCTAAAGCGATCACTCAACAGTCCTTTTTATTGAGATACTCAGGTGGACTCCAACCTCTAACCTTTCGTGTAACAAACAAGTACATCAATCATTTGTACTATCCAGAGACTCATGAACAAACCTTTCTTTTATCACCTCGTACCACTACACTTAGCACACCTATTGAAATTTTCACTTTGTGATGTGACCTAGACCTTTGGAAACATAAATATGATCTTTAGAGCCAGCTAGATTTTGGTTTTGTTTCCTCTCCATTCCTTGCCTTCATGCACACTAACAAGTAACTTAATGTCATCTATCAGATGGTGGTGTGGTGATGCCTAATCTCAGAGTCTGCTTCAGGAATCAAATAAGAGAAGCTGTGTGTACAAGGTAGTCAATAATGTTGTTATTGTGCCTCAGTAGAAGCTACTAGGCAAAGGGAGGTATTGAATCTGTAGAGGAAGGGTGTATGCTCTTGGGAAGAATGATGAACAGTCTTCTCCTATGTAATTTATAGCCTCGGAAACCCATTGGAGGGTCAGCCATGAGTCTGCTCTGACCCAGCAGCAGTACTTTGATTTATGTGGGTCAGTTGTTTTATTTGTGTTGGTGAGGGGATAAGAAATCCCCTTTCTCAAAGTTATTTAGTGTTTATCTTCTTTTGGTGAGGAGATAAAAAAACCCTTTCTCAAAGTTATATAGTGTTTATCTTCTTGAAAACAAACATGGATTTTAACAATACTATTTTCTATTCATTAACTAAGTTAATCTCCTTAATTATTTGATTAAACACTCTAGTGGCACAAATGGTTAATCATTCAGCTTCCAATCAAAATGTGGTTGGAACTAACCCCAGCATCTCTGCAAAAGAATGACTTGGCGGCCCGTTCCCATGTGAGTGTAGCCAAGAAAACCTTGTGGGACAGTTCTCTTATATGGAGTAGCTATCATGACAATAAGGACAGCAGTTATTTAAGGAGTCCCCCAGCTCAAAGTTGAAAGTCCAGGTTCTGAACAAATAAAAGTGCAGTACAGAATATCGTGTTTCATACTCTGATAAGACATGTGGCTTCTGTTTCAAGCTGATTTTGAAAACCTTTGCCTATTGAGTTTACAGAGGGTGGCCACTGATCATTTTCAAAGCAGGAAATGAAAGTGTTTCTATTACAATGCTTGTTTCATCCACAGAGGAAAGATAGCTCACGCCCTCTTGCCCACACTGGAGCATCCAAGACAGTGCTTTTCTTGTGTTCTCTCTTCTTGCTCATGGCAGCAGGCCATTGATGCCAGTCTACTTATGAGTTGGAGGCTATTTTTGATAACGTTTTTTAGGACACTGTTTCCGTTTTACTTTTCCCATAATTTCTCTAAAGTAGCATGAGCATGATAATCTTGTGTGTTACATTATTGTTATTATATGTCATGGAGTCAGAACTGACTCATAGCTGATGCACTAGGAGGTTTTCAGATGCTATAAATCACACAGGAGGAGACTGTCTGTTTTTCTTCCATGTAGCTTCTAGTGGATTCAAACCAACTGCCATTGGATTGGCAGCACAACTCCTTATCACAAAGCCACCAAGATTGAAAGCTAAGAACAATAGAATGGCGATTAGAATCCATATAGTTATTTGATTATGTATTACTTCATAAATATCTATCATTAGTGAATTACTGTAAGCCTCTTTTTCTTTTGATATGGGAGGGGATACTAGAAGGGGGAAAATAATCAGTATTTTAGAGATGTTGTTAATTACCATTACATCAGCTCTGACTCATTGCGATTTTTATAGTGAAATGTCAGCTGGTCCTCTGAATCTTCATGATTTTGTCTTGTTTGAGCCCATGGTTGTGATTTATGTGTCTGTTCATCTTACTGAACCTTTTTTTCCCATTTTGAATGATACTCCATTTTACCGAACATAGCTTTCTTTTTTACTAAGTTGTCCTTTCTGATGACATGTTCCAAGTAGGCAAGACAAAGTCTTACCGTCTTTACTTTTGAAGATTGTTTTGGTTGTATTCCTTCCAAGATGTATTTCAAGTCCTTTTTTACCTAGTTCAAGTTTTGAGTTTCACTTGAACCCTGCTTTACTGTCAGCAGAACACTTGAACAAGAATAGACAGCCACACATGATAATTATAAGAATTTAGTATCATTTTCTTACAATAACATGTACAGCTTAAGCTTTTTCTCTTTGAATTTTGATCATTGAATGAAATCCTAGAGAGCAGTAGGGTCAAGAGGAGGAAGGCTTTATTTTGCTGCAAAATAATTTTTGCTGTCTGGGTACTAGATTACCATTTCATGCTAAAAATACTACTTTTGCTACTTTAGAATCTTAAATTGTGCAAAGTGGATATTCTTGGCATTACTGAAAGTAATTGGAGTAGTGATTGTTAATGACTGAGATTTATCCGAATTAAAAAAAAAAAGAATTTAGTTCATAAAGGAATGGGGCTTAAAGTGTCTCCAAACAGATTACCTGTTTACTTTTATTATTGTGTTTCATCCTGGCATTGTACTTGCTGCTTGTGTGCACATACACACACACATATGTATCAAATATTACATTTGCTTTTCTCCTCCATACCATTTCAAGTAGACAGTGTTTGAAAGCTGTTTAACTTCTCTCATAAGCAACCAAGACCTTTGTATTCAATTTAAAATTAAGGCTTTGTTTTAAAAAGTAATAATAAATAGTTGACATTTGCTCATATGAACTGACATAATTTTCAGCCTTTTTTTAAAAACAACTAAAAGAAAGGACCTTTTTTTCCCTATTTGCCATAATTCTGCTATAAATATTTAATGTGTTGTATTTCTGATACTATATTTGGAAGCAGGAGTGGCATCCACTTCCTAAATAACATGCCTCTGTAAACTATGAACCATGGCCTGAATCAGACGCACCTTCGTCTCTAGATTGACATTGCTGCTTCTCAGTACTCTGGAGAGGTCCTAGACAGCAGATTTTCCCAGTACAACTCATCTTTTGATTTCCTGACTGGCAGTGTTAGGAGTGTTGATTATAGAGACAAGCAAGTTGAAATTCTTAACAACCTCAGCCTCTTCTCCATCTATCTTGATGCTGCAAGTAAAATAGAATATGGGGGTAAAATGTGCAAAAATGAATGAATGAAAATCTAACTTTTCTGTAAAAGTTTGTTAAAATTAAAATTTTAAAAATAATAGAATATTGTACTTGGGCTTTTTTTAATAGTTAAAGAAAAAAATAAAGTTCTATCTAATCTCATGAAATCTGAAGTTGAAGGGAGAAATGATGATTTTAAATTAAGATTTTTTTATTTTTATTTTTTTTTATTTTGTAGGTCATGAGAGAATGGGAAGAGGCAGAACGTCAAGCAAAGAACTTGCCCAAAGCTGATAAGAAGGCAGTCATCCAGGTAAAGCAAACCTATTTGCTATGCAGGAAATGCACGAATCTCTATGTTTGGATACCATTGGATGGGTTTGAACTGCCAATGTTTTAGTTAGCAGCCATGTTCTTAACTAGTGTACCCCAGGGTTACTTTATCTTAGTCATAATAGTGTCCAGACACCGTTCCAACACTGCTTCCTAGTAACAAATTGAGTATAACCATGACAGCTTTAATTAGTCCAGCAAGATGTTAGAATGGTCTGACTTAGTTTTTAGCATACTTTTAATCATTTGGAGAAAATGAAATATGTTTTAAAAACCTAGAATGTGCTGTCTCATCCTGCTTGTTTAGTTCTCCAGTAATATGTGTCTTTATAACCTTCAGCATTTCCAGGAGAAAGTGGAGTCTCTAGAGCAGGAGGCTGCCAATGAGAGACAGCAATTGGTGGAGACACACATGGCCCGAGTGGAAGCCATGCTCAACGACCGCCGCCGCCTGGCTCTGGAGAACTACATCACAGCCCTGCAGGCCGTTCCTCCACGGGTATGTCTCACCAGGCTTCACAGTACAGTTACTTCACAGTAAAGATAGTGGGACCAGGAGTTCTGGGTACTGAGAGCCATAAAGGAGAAATTAAGAGAAATGCTGTGAGCTCATTCACTGGTCCCAACTTATATCCATTCCACCTGCAAAGGTGAAGGATCACAGGACAGCTCCCTCACTAGGCTGTGTCAGTATCACAGACAAATCCTTCCACAGAGATGTCCCAATATGTCTCCCAGGGACTCCTGACTTGATGTTCTTAGCATCATTATGATTTGGAGAATTGAAGTTGAGGAAATCTGGGAGGACTTTGAGAAGCCCTTCTTTGAGAACTCATTCTTGTCCTCATGTAAGTGATGTAACAGAGATCTAGAAAAATTGAGACATGGCTGAGTTTTAATGGTTTTTAGTGGCCCACCAACAACTACAGTGTGGATTTCCTGCTCCCAGGGCAGGGGCTATATTCTCGGGGAAAACCCCTAGTGTGGTGAGGAGGATTATTTTACAGTTCAATTAAAAAAAAAAGAGAGAGAGAGAGAGAACAGTTTAATCAATATCCAGAAAAGCTTACCAAGAAAAGACAAATAAAGATGTGCTCAGTAAGGCTCAGCGGGGCAATTTACTTTGAACATTCTGCAAGTGTATGCTTGAATACTTGTTCTGTGTTTTTTATTGTTGTTATGTGCTGTCAAGTTGCTTGCAACTCTTCGTGACCCTGTGTACAACAGTTCTAAACCCTGCTCTATCATGAGCCATTTTCATTATCTCCATACCCCCATTTCCCCAGTCACTGAATCAATCCATCTCATCCAGGGTTTTCTTCTCTTGCACTGTCTTTAGGGACTGGTCCTTCCTGGCCACATGCCCAAAGTTTTATGAGATGAAGCTTCAAAATCCTTACCCGCAAGGAGCAGCCTGGTTTTACCCTTTCCAGGACAGACCTGTCACAAAGAGAGTTATTAAAATCTACAGCTACAATTATTCATTTGTTTGTTTTTCCATGCAGTGCTTTCCATTTTTACTTTTATGTGTTTTGAAGCTCAGATATTATGTGCAAAAATGCTCAGAGATTACGTGTCCCTTGTTATGAATTGACCTCTTTTAACCCTGATAATATGTTCTGTTTTGACATCTGCTTTGTGTAATGTGAATAGTGCTACTCCAATTTAAAAAAAAAAAAAGTTACATTAAAACAATTATCCTATTTTTTTAAAAAATCTTCTTTCTCTTAATTATTTGTATTTTTATTTGAAGCACATGTCATGCCAGCAGCATGCATTTAGGTCCTTTTTTAGTGTTAATCCAATCTGACAGTAGCTGTCTTTTAATTAGGGAGATCATTTGCATTTAATTAGATTGTTAAACTGGTAATGTCTAAATCTATCATCTTTGTTGTTTTCTGTGTTCTCTTTATGTGCCATCTTTTGGACTTAATGAAACAATTTTGAATTCTTTTTTATCTCCTCTACTAACTGTAATTTTAGTGGTGGTTTTAGAGATTATATATAGTGACATAATCTATATTGCAAATTGTACTGCTAATCCACCGCCATGTTTTTCTGGGGTTCAAATCCACCATGAACTCCATAGGAGAAAGATGGATGGTCTCCTCCTTTGCAGTATATGCCCTCAGAGAACCCAGTGAAGGGTAAGCTATGACCTGATGCCAATGAGTTTGAGTTTTATGGTCAAACACTTCTGTTATTTCCTTTTCAAGTTTTATTAGACAACTTCACATTTAGGATAAGAATCTTCTAAAAGAGTCTTTCCACTTTCTTTCCTTAAACTTTTCTTTTTTCTTTTTTTCCTTTCCCTTAACTTTTTTTTCAGACTACATTGCCTTCTCACAAAATCATAGAAATTTTTTAAAAAAAATAATAGAGCACAAATCTCAAATGTTTCTCTGTGTAGTTACTACATGTGTTCATTCTCTGTATTCTACCTTTCCTTATGTCTAGGGACTTCTTTTCACATTTCTTATAGAAAATGTCTGCTGGTGAGAAATTCTGTCAGACATTAGATATCTTGGTTTCAGGCATTGTTTACAGGTCTTAGAAGGTCCTTATTTCAACTTTATTTTATAGTGATATTTTTGCAGGATATAGAATTCTGAATTGAGATTTCCCCTCTCTTTTATTTATTGATATTTCTTAGTATGTCTATGTCTTTTGAGATTTCTCTTTATTAGTGATTTTGAGCAATTTCATTGTGATTCACCATTGTTTAGTTTTCTTTATGTGTTCTTTGAGTTCATTAAACTTCTTGGATTTATAGATTCATTTTCATTAGTTTTGGAAAAACTTTGAGCATGTGGAAAAAATTTTTTGTGAACTCTTTCTTTCAGGGTTAATATAAAAACAGTATAGCCTGTATGAAGTTACCTCACAGTATTGATCTCTGTTCATATTTAAAAATTTTTTTTCTTATATTTACTCTTCTGTCTCCAGTGTTTAAACTTTGCACACCTGCCTGCTTTTTCTTTCACATATTATATTTGAACATCTCTGGGAGTCCCACATTTCTCCTTATCCCTTATATCTCACTATGTATTGAACCTATAGAAGAAATTTATAAAACTTTGTGTTCTCATTTACTAATATCTTATGTCAGTTAATGGCTATTTTTCAAAATCAAGGAGTGAGACAAAGACAGACATATTTACCGCAACTCAGGTTCTAAATTCCATACTAAATTTGCATGGTTGGCTGGAGAAATGTAGTGGAAGAGCCCACTCTTCAATGGCATGTGATTTTTTGAATCCGTCAGTGGCACTGAAGGCAATCTCCTTTGAAAATGTGCTATGAATTAGTGCCGACTCAATGACAAACCACAACTATCTTTACCTTTTGGTTATCAGCATAACACTGATCATCCTATTATTAGAAATTGTTTTTTCCTTCACCCATCTTATTATATGCATATTATCTGTTTACTAATTAAGCCTCAGGATTGGAGGGGGACTCATCAGTAACCTGAATTACGCAGATGTCACAACCATACTTGGCAGAATCGGAGGAGGACTTGAAGCACTTGATGCAGAAGATCAAGGAGTGCATCCTGTGGTATGAATTGCATCTCAGTGTCAAGAAAACCAAGCTTCTTACCTCTAGACCAGCTAAGCTGTCCTCTAGTCTCTTCCACCTGGCACAGTTCTTTTCCTTGAATGAACTAGCACATTGACTACATGGCAATATTTTGATGCTGAAAGCTGGGATAATTTGAGAGGATGGATCTTTCAAAATCATCAAGGTAGACAAAAACATTGAATTGTGCTATGGGACAGAAAATTTCATAGCATTCCTGTGAATTCACCCCTGGATTGTCCCCTCAAAAACTGGAAAGCCCTAGATTTAGAAAGCCTCTACTAAAAAAAAACTAGTTTTTTAGTTGTGGCTTTTGCAACACACTCTGGCCTCAAGAGCAAAAGGAGGATTCTGTGATTTATATTTGTGAATAGCATCTGTGCTGGCAAGTAGCACATTGGACACCAGTCCATCCAGGCAGTATTATCATCTTCACCAGGGACATCCAGACGAAGAGTGGCATGACTAGAGCCTGAGTCATCCTCAAGGACATTGCCATCCTGGAAATTATCAAACAATATCATTAGGATCACTTGCAAGCAAAGATCATCCAAAAATGGCCAGAATAGTACTGGACAGAGAACTGCCAGAAGTAAAAGCTAGATTTAGAAGAGATCGTGGCACCTGGAATATTACTGCTGATGTCAAATGTAACCTGACTGAAAGCAAAGAATATCTATTTGTGCTTTGTTGACTATGAAAGCCATTTGACTGTATAGATCATACAAATTATGGCTAACATTGAGAAGAATGGGAATTCTAGAACATCTAATTTTGCTTATACAAAATCTATTCCTATATCAAGAAGCGGCTGTCTGAAAACAGTAAGAGAACACTCTTATTGTTTTGTGCTGTCAACTCAACCACAACTCATAATGACCCTATGCACAATAGCTCTGAACCCTGCTCTATCCTAAGCCTATCTCACTGCCCCTGACACACCTACCCACATTACCCCAGTTACTGTGTCAATCCATCTCATCCAGGACTTTTCTCTTTTTCACTGTTTCTGTACCCATCCAAGCATGATCTCCTTCTCCAAGGACTGATCCCTGGTAGTATGCCAAAAGTATGTCAGCTAAAACCTCAAAATCTTTGCCTCCAAGAAGCAACTTGCTTTCACCCTCTCCAGTACATACATGTTAGTTCTCTTAGCAGTGCATGGTATGTTCAGTACTCTTTTCCAGCACCACAACTCAAAAGCATCAATTCTTCTGTCATCCCTAGTCATTGTCCAGCTCTCTGATGCATAGCAAGTAATTGTGAAGCTCATGGACTGTATCAGGGGCATCTGACATCTTTGCTCATCAGCTCTCTCGGGAGGTCCCTAACAACAGATTTTCCTAATGCAATTCATCGTTTGATTTCTTAGTTTGATTTTTTTCCGGAAACCCTATGAACTTGGAGAAAATATTTAAGTTTTGTGTTCAAGACTTTCATTCTTGGGGTCGCTATGGATCGTCTACGACTCTACAGCACTTAACAATAACAGTTCCGATTTGGGAATTGCATCAGGGCTATATCCTTCTCTCCATCTCTGTTTAATTTGTATGCTGAACAAATCACTCAAGGAACTGGACTTTATGAAAAAGAGTATGGCATCAGAATTGAAGGAAGACTCTTCAACAACCTGAGCTAAACAGTCTACACAACCTTGCTTGCTTTAAGTAAAGAAGACCTGAAGAACTTGCTGCAGAAGATCAAAGGCTGCAGCTTTCAATATGGATTACATCTCAACAACAGGAAAACAGAAATTCTCACTACTGGAACAATAGGCAACATCATGTTAAGATGAAGGAAAGATTGAAATTGTCAATGATTTTATCTTGCTTAAGTCCACAGTCATAGTGCTCTTTGGAGGCAAGAATGATGAGTCTTTTCTTCACATATTCTAGGCATATTGCTAGGAAAGGCTAT